TGGGTGAGGGGGTGAGGAGGTGGGAGCGGGCGGGGAGGACGCAACTCGGGGCTGTGCCCTCGTCGTCGGGCCGTAGAGGCGAAACCCTGGTCGGGCGGTGGGCCCAGACCGCCTTTCCGTCCACCTCGGCCGCTTTTGTCGCTCCCTAACGATCTCCGCCGAAACTCGGCCCCGTCGCTGCCAGCTAGGCCTAGTTCTTCTGGCTGCCGTTGCCCGGGCCCGAGCGCCCCCTTCCTGCCTCTGGGTCGGGTTTATCGGGTGTCGGGTGCCTTCTGCTCAGCCGGGCCCGTGGAGGTAAGATGGAGCCTGATGTTTCCTTGCCTCGCTGGCTTCTCAAAGTTGACCTTTTCGGTCGAGGTCTCGACCCCTGTCCCTGCTTTCTCCTCTCCGAGGTGTTTAGCGCTGTCTGCTTTGATCCGGGCTAGGTAGGATCAGCTAGTCCTCCCCATTTATCCTGCAGGGCAATGTTTGTGCTCTAAAGGGTCTCCTCTTAGCTTCCCAAATCCATCCAGGTGTGGTAGGGACTTTACCGTTCAGGGTCTTGAATATTTCTGTCTTGAGCAATTTCTAAGCTAGCAGGCTGACTGAATGTGCTATGTGTTATGTTTCGGGAGGTTATCTACCAGTTTCTCAAATTTAAATTAATGTGTTAGCTTGGATGTGGGTGCCCAGTTTCCTATCTATATATTTGAAAAAAATTTCTCATATTAATTTTCCATTCGCTTGTGCTTTTTATTGTAACAAAAAGTTTGAAATAAAGATATTTGGGAATCATTTTATGAGTAAGACTTTTTAATAGTCTTTCCTTTATTATTTCTTTTTGTTCCTATATATTAAAAGATTGTGCAGCTGTGGTAATCTCTGTGCATGGAAGAAAAGAAAAGGTAGTGAGGTACAGAATAGGAAACATAGAGGCTCCCTACTGAAAAAAAAAAAAAAGTTCTCCCTCCATTTTTAAAGTGAAAATTTCCCCCCCCCCCGCTTTTTTTGGCCATGTTGTTATTGTCCTTGAACGGTCCTAAAGCAATAATCGTGTTAGCACATCAGGTTACATGTTTTGGTATATATTATGAATAATAAAAGGCCAAGGAAGAGGTGTACTGTAACTACATTTATGACAATGATAAAGTATTCAGGAGCCCACAAACAAAGATGAGGCTCACATTGCTTTTTTTAATCTCCTTCTGCTTAAGATTATATGGCAATAGCTGAATTTGTATCCAACTGAGCAATGTTTGTGATAAGCACTGAGGCCTTTTTAATGAACTTACTTTAGAAACTTCTATATGAATAACAAAGACTAAAATGTACAAATATATACTAATTGATACCTTTTGAAAATGCACAAGTGGCAATAATAAAATATAAAATATTGTCTTTTTACATAAAATGTTGCTATTTTTTTTTCCTGTTGTGATACTTAAACCATTTTTGCCCAAAGAAGTCATATATGCTTACAACTTTTGTAACTTGCATGATTACTGAGTTTGTATGAAACTTGCACGTGGAGAGAAGTTTCACAATTGACCGTGTAATGGTTGCTGCGTTTTTTGAGTTCTCAGAACTTTGCTGTGTGAAGAAGGGCAAGTTAGCTTAATTTTTGATCATGATAAAGCCTTTTATGATTCTCCTCTCCCCCTAAGGCAGTATTTCTTAAATGTGACTGGGAGGAAAATATTCTAGTTTGCTGTGGGGCCAATAAAACAAAATGATAGGTTAAGTTCCTATGTATGTGGCGTTTCCAGTTGATTTGCTTTCCAAAAGGAAGAATGCTATTTTTTAAATATTCGTAACAATTAAAGAAGGAACAAAAGCAGTATTTCATGTTTTTCTTTGAATTATCTACGAATCTCCCCAAAATATAAATCGGGTATTCTGCAAAAGGCATGGTGGGGAGGAGAAGGCCATAAATGGACAAAACGGAGAGTTGTAGCAAATACGGGCTTTGCAAAAAAACTTGGAATTTCATTTTCTATATGGAGGCCTGCTCTAATAAAGCCAATGCACAAAGTCATCCATTCCCTCTTGTATGGATATCTGTTTTTAAAACTGGTAGGCTTAGTCACCGAGAGTCAAATACCAAACTTCACTGAAAGTCAAAGATTGCAGAAGAAAACTTATTGTAAGTAGAAAGAAAAGATTAGGTTATATGGGAAAATACCTATTTACTGGTATATAAAATGACTTATGGGATCTGATCAGATCAGCCCAAGATTGTATTTTGAGAGTTAGTAGTTACCTAAATAAAACCTAATTTTATGTATTAGGGAACGTGAAGATTGCTGTATTGAGAGAAGTAAATGGTAGTGTCTTTATCTAACACTTCAACTTCCGCTGTGGTTAATAATGAGTGCTTAAGATGATCTATGTTTTCTTACGTGATCTTGTGTAGTAGGGTGATGATCAGCCTATGTCCTAAAGCATGTAGGATTTGTAATGTTGCTGTAATCTGTAGGAGTTGCAATTCTTTAAGAGAAAAAACTGCTTGTTTATCAAACAAAACAACACACAGTGAAGTTTTAAATCCAGTAATGAAGTCACTTTTAAAATAACGATTTATCTATTTTTTTGAAGTATTATGAAAAATACCAACTTGAGTTTTGCTCATGTGATCATTATGTCAGCATAAGACCTTATTGTCCAAAAACTGGAGGATAAGGGTTTTTTTTCGCATATCCTTAGCGTCGTTATGTGGGTTAGTAAGGCAACGTAATTAGAACCTAAGCAGTAGTGACTATAGACTTCATAGAAACTTCTTTTAGAGCCCTTATTCATAACTGTACACACGTTTAATTAGCTCAGCTACTAGTATGTAATATCTAATACATATATAAAAATGCACATTTTATTCTAGGTTCAACTGTTCTAAGTAAGGTCGTTACCAAAGCCAGACATTGGTCAGGATGTGGTGCTCTTATATGTCTCTCATTTTCTTCAGATTCATCTCTATCGAAATACACTTCGAATTATGTATATTTGTTTTTCTACTGCCAAATACTGTGCACAGATTGTGCTGCAATCTGTGTGCTGCTGCTTAGTGTGTTGATTAGTCTGTTGTAGTCCTATCTGTGTATCTGTATACTCTGCACTTAATTTTTACGTTCCTCTAGTAAGGAGCTTACCTTGTTCTTTGTATAGTGTCTGCCACAATAAGATGCTGGCCTGTGACTATAGCCCATACATACTTGATAATACTCCTATACTGATGAAAAACTTATTAGAGTGATGCCTTTACTTCTTTTGTGATAGACTTGAACATATCAAGGAGCCTTCAAGGGAGAAGTATGGCTTTAATAATTTACGTGGCTGGCAGTTTATGTAATATGTTAAGCTTCAAGATAAACTGAAGGAGCTTAACATTCTGTGAATGTGAAATTTTGAGACTCAATCTTGCAAGCGCTCTGGATGTGTTTGTTACTTTACTTGCATAAGGAATACCATAGTATTAAGTAGGAGATGAAGGACTGGGAGTCAGGACATGTAGCGTTTAGGAAAATGGGATTTAGTTGTAGTTGTGCCATCCTGACTGTAAAATGCAATTGCTCGTGCTTTATCTCAACAAAAGACCTACCCACATCAGTTAAACTATGCATATACTTAAATATTTGCAGGCACATGCACTTTGTGATAACTACTGCCATATACTGTGTGTAGGAGTATAGTTGAGAATATAGGACATTGCATATGAATTGGAAGCCTTGGGTTCGGTTTCTGGCTCTGCTGTGTTTTATGACTGTTCAACAGTCCTTAAGAATCTATCTTCATTATTTAAAAAAAAAAAAAAAAAAAAAGCTATCCCATCTTAATCCAAAACTAATTTCATTTTCACCCCTTGGTTTTTCAGAAGTGATTCTGATTTTATATTTTTTAATTTATTTTTACTTTCTAGCTTATTTTTTTTAATTTTATTTCAAATTTATTACATTTTTACAGTGAAATGAAGGGAGGTAGGTTGTAGTAGAACAGGAGAGTTACTTATCCATCCTAAACTTGCAGTAATGAAATACAGGATTAGAGTAATAAATGTTTCAAGAGAACTTTTAATGTTTGTATCTGTTGAACTGAAAAGTAGGCCTAATAAATTTTCATGGGCATTGTTTAAGTGGAGAAGTGTTGTAGTGGCCTTTTCTTGAGTTTATTAATCATACTAATACTGACGCTTTTATTCTGATGAAAGAGCAACAACTTTAATTAAAGATGTACTCAGTTGAGACTAGAAGAATTACTCTAATGGTTTATTGGTATTGGAAGGGAGTGCTTCTACCTTGTCTTCATTCCTCATGGTTCCCTTTAATCTGGTGCTTATCTGATCTCCTGGTAAGCTGATCCAACTTGCAAAGTTGGCAAAAAAACCCAAAAAACAAAAAACTTGCTTTTTGATCAGTTTTATGCCAGGTTTGTCAGGTTATTTAACTGACACAATGGCTAGAGCTGTATGGCCGAGAAGGGAGGGAAGGAAGAGATGAAGTATAAATGAAATTGTCCCTTTGTGCAGCAACAAGCTATTAAATCAGCTCGGCTGCACTGCCTGACAGCACCTTC